CCATTAAAGAAGGTTCTCGCAGGTCACATGACCATTCCACACAAAGCCACGTCATCTCAAAACACTCGCATATAGTCAACCAACGAGAGAATGGGGATGACTAGGGGGGAGAGCGCCCCGCGGCCGACCGACGGTCCCCCCCGAATTTTTCGGGGGAAAATCGAAACATCTGGATCATCACATGACTTACCATGATGAGGCGATCGTCGCCGATCACGTAGATGTCTTGTTGCGGATACAGTTTGATAGCTAGTAAAGCCTCGAAGGCTTTTAGTTCGGGTTGAATAAGTAACAGGTAGTTATACGGAGTAGGAGTGGAAGGTGGTGTGTTTGGGGGGTATGGGGTGGGTTGCGAAATAGATTTGGGGAGGCTGAGTCACGTCGGCTCCACCCCCTTTTGAGCTCCCTTCCCCTCTGCCCGTCTTCTTTTCTGTGTGTCCACCCGAAAAGATCGATGGGTGCTGACGTCATCACACGCCGCGAGACCGCCCCGCAGCTCTCCCCAACCAGCCAGCCCGAATTTTCGGGAAGTCACCGTCTCTCTGGGTGGTCTCGGAGGATCGGTGGAAATTAGCATATTGGCTTAGAAGTCATAATAAAGTAGCAGCTACTACTTTCACAAAATAATTTGTGTTTAAGAAAAGTCCGAATGGCAAAAACGGTGGAACGGGAAAAGTCAGTATAAATAGGACAAAAAACATAAATAAATAGGCTAGTAAAGAATGATATATTGTGATATAGATGATGAACTTTCAGGCCCGCAAAAATTTTGGAGGAAAATGGGGCAGATGGCCCGGAAAAGAGGTCATTTCCGCATCAATATGCCCTCGGGATATGTTAATTTCCGCTGACATTAAGGATAATGTTAACCGCAGAACGTAGGCAAATAAATTACTACCGGGTGTGATTTAAGGAATTTTTATCGGGATAAGCTTACAATGAAATACAGCTGTACTAGTGCCTAGAATAAATTAAGGATACTTGCTCAAAACTATGAGGTCCGGATAAAATTGCACCTAACAAGCCATCGGATTAAAGAATTCGGAACTGAAGGACCATTTAAGCAAATCAAAATAATCACAAAAATCGTGTCGAGATTTCCAGAACGAATGGGTGGGACACAGCTAAAAGCCGACTGGACAACCGTAATATACACAAAATTATGGGCGGAAATTGGGTGCGGAAAGGTGAGGTAAACAGAAGGAACAGGAGAAGGAGCCCTTCGAGGAAGAGCGCTAAAAATGAATCCTTATCACCTGGGTAGACGACGGTATTTCCTTGCAAAAGGGTATGGGCTGAGGACCGGGGTGGCCACGTCAAATTTTGTATCGATGCGCCAGCCGGTCTGAATCAGAGGTGGTCACAAAATAAAAAGCATGGCGATCAGCTGGGTGCATTACCATATCCCTCCAGTGTTTTCACATAATAAAATCGGTCTTTTTATTTGCGCTCCCGTGGGGTTATTGGACCGTAAGAATTTGAACAAAGAGAGCAAGAATTAGGAGAGGGTAGGTGGGTGGGATAAACTTGCTTGGCTTGCCGGGGCGACAAGTTTATGTGCTGTAAAAGGACAATAGACTGGGCTGATGTGAGGCGGCCGGTGGACAGTTCAATACTTTCAAATAGCATCATTTTCCCATGCACTAAAAATACCCTCTCCAATACACGCAAAGGGCAGGGATGCCGCTGCTCAGCGGAGGGTTGTTTGCCAAGGTTTTTGGGTAGCTGGGAATGGTGTAAAATATGTGGGTCATAATACGAATTCCCATCCAATGATGCACCAAGGTATGCTTTTTAGCATAGTCATCACCTCGATGGAGGGAATTTTTTTTTTGGGTGTCTCCCGCTCAAAAAGCCACAGCCACAACGCCCCCAAGCACAAAGCACAAAGCAGGAGAATGGGGATTTTGGACCCGGGCACGGTACGAAATTAGAAAAGAATGTTGTTAAAATTAAATAGTCACTAGTTTGGGCAGTCGAAAACCGGGAATTTGATTTTCAAAATTGTCTGGTCAGATAGGTTGATCTGATTTGAATCTGGGACGTCTTGTCTTGATCAAATAAATCGATCTGGCCTGAATAAAGACAAAAATTGATTAGCTTAGCTTTAACTCGATAAGAATAACTGTAGCTTTTCACCAGATAAGAACAACTCTATATATAATACAAAGGTCTAGCGAGTCCTCCCCTCCTATCAGATCGAGGACATCCACAAGGAGTGACCTTGACACAACTTGCAAAGGAGGGCAAGAACAATCCCTTCCACGTCTATATCGCCTATCCGGCTTATCCATAACGTTTTTTAACTTTTTTTGCCAGTTGCTCTTTTCTCTTTTGAGGGATCTATGCTGTTAGGGGCATCCTTGCACCTAGTTACGTTAAGATCGGTAGCACTTTTTGGTCTGTTTTTGTCAACATGGATATATGTGTGTCGGTGGGGCTCGAGTCTAGTGGCGGGGTTGAGCGGGCAAGTGATGTTTTTGGGGACAATGGAAAAGTAAGGTGAAAGTTATTAGTGATTTTATGAAATACTATCTGGACTGTTCTCTGAATCATTAATATCAGGAAAATTATCTAGAACGTGACTGTCATGAAAGCTCACTACAATCCCACGGTTCTTTAAAACCATGCGCCATTAATGCGTCAAATATATTTGATATATCTGTGGAGCATTTAGAATTTTCTAAATATAAATTATGTAGATCTCCCAATTTGAAATTTTATTTTTTCATTGTCGTTTCGCAACTGCCAAATTCAAATCCGGTTCCGATTAAAAAAACCATATAGTATTTAAAATGTCTATAATTTTCCGTCCAGGAACTACTTGGTTTCCGCAATTCGGATTTTTTCATGGTAAATTTTTAACTTTTAACTTTACATATCTCCAAATAGCCATTGATAATCGTCCATCACCCATGTTTTTCGATCCTCCACATCTTACTGTACAACCCATCACCCAGAAAAAACTAGCTTCTGTGAATAGCACTTTTAATGTACTCTTTTGGCGCTTCGTGTTGGGGGGGAGATGGCCGGATGGATAATGGGATGACGTAGCCCCGACAAAAAGGGAGGGAGGGGTTAGAAGGTGTTGTTGCTATTTTTGGGGGGTGTGCTGCCCAGCTGGCCCGGGCCTGTTTACGTAAATGTGGACGGGAAGGAGGGAAAAGAGAAAAAGAAGGGGGCTCCGTCTCTATGTGTATGTGTGTGTATGCGCTATTTTGTGGACATGGGTTACCCCCCCACAGCCACCATCGGTGGGTCACATGCGAGGCGCCACACCGCTTCTCAAGAGACCCCCGCCGCCCCAACGTTTGAGGATAGGGAATCCCCCTCCGATACTTTGAACAGCTGATTAGAAAAGGGCACTTTTTAGGGGCGAGGGGGTTGATGCACTTGGTGCACTTGCTAGATGCTAAAGACGTGAGCCTTTCAAAAACAATATGGGGGAGGGGGGGGGGTTAAAGTGGCGCCTAAGGCGAGAAAAATATCAATATTTTTGGGGGAAAATATTTTTTAAGGTTTAGAAGATAGAATAGAATCTAGGGAGCACTTTAGGTCATCAAGCGCGAGTCATATAAATTAGGTGCATCAGTAATACAGTATTTAGGAAATACTCGTCAAACTATTTGAGTTTTGTAGGTGTTCAGGGTCTATAAAACAACCCTTAATCAAAGCCTAAATTATGCAAATAATTCCATTAAATAGATGTTAGGTCATCTTTCCAATTAACCTTCATTTACTTCTAAGAAATAGATTACCTAAATTAATATTTTAAACCCGACTTCGTTTATTTTTAAGCAAGCACTACGCAACTCGAAAATTCAAGAATCTTAAACCTACGACATTCAGAAGACCGATTAAAAACTAAATTTTAAACCTGACCACAATTATTCTCAAATAAACGCTACGTGCTTAAACCTAACTTGTTGTGACTTTCGATAAGACAACAACATCACCCGGCCAGTCTAAATCTGACCATGGGGTGGTGTGTGGTTTTGCCCGACCCAATTTTTCGTTTTCTACATGCCAATCGAAGCTCATTCCTTTTAGCAGGTGTAAATTCTAGCTTTGATCTCTATACCAGGAAGATTATTTGGTCTCTCTCCTTGTGGTGGACACGGGTTGCCTGGGTCACATGGGACGCTCGTTTCCTGATATGGAACCGAGTTATGTGCACCCAATGCCTCCCGTAGATACGTTCGAAGCTTTTTGGGGGACCGAAGGGGGTGACGAATTGTTGAAAAACGCATCAGAATGGTGACGCAGTCCACTGACAGGTCAGCGCTGCTCCAAAAATATCGGTGCCGATAAGGGGTGGTGAGGTAGCTTGTAAAACGCAGGTATCAAAATGGCTTGTGACTGGGGGTTTAATGAAAAAGTATGGGATACTTTGGAGGGAACTCTTTCTTGGTCGAATAAATTTCAATTATTAATTTGCCTTTTCTGAGTTGCTAACCGCTTTAAAAAGCTTATATTTGTTTCAATAATATAAAAAATTCTAAAAAGTTCTAGAGAATTTTATCAGCCCTACTTTTTACTTACTTTAATCGCATAAAAGCAAAAATCTTCAAAAAGTTATATAAAATCTATTTTTAGAGTTGTTCCGGGAAAACCGGGAAACTGACACTTGACAAACTTTAGAAATTTTCGAAATTCTGCATTAGTTCCCTCAGCCCACCTTACATACCTCATTCCCGATAAGCCGAATTAGCTCGGATGCCAGTTGTAAATAACTTATTCCAAATAGTCGTGGAACAATCTAGAAGACGAGTTTGTTTACAAAATAACTCCTTCAATCCGGGGGAACAAAGCCGGCCCGGTGACCAGATTACTCCAAACCCCCGTGTTATGGACAATTTTTTGATGAACGGAAAGAAAAAAGGGTGGAAGTGGTTTTCCGAGGGATCAAGCACTTAGTAGATAAGCCTTCTATAAGAATTGTCTTTGGAAAGAGCCAGTTTTCTGGGTGAGAAATGGATTATCCAGGGCAAGCCCCAAGCATGAAGATCAACGACGAAAACCGGGAGAAACTATTGGCCGAACTCGACGCTTGGTACGACAAACAGGCCGAGAAAACTGACGTGATATATCCTATAAAGCAATACAATTTTTTTAGAAAGATCTATTCGATGCGGTTGTCTTCAAGAAATTGTACAAGCAGCTGTTGAGCGAAAATGCTTATATTGACTGGGACCGGTGGAAATTTATAAGTGAAGATGTGCAGAGGAATTTTGATGATTTGCCGGTATTTGAGCGTGCAAAGACTGACGTCTTGGACAGGTGATTTGAATTTGAGAAAGAAATATACTTTTGCAAAAGGCAAAAATTGGTTTGACTCTTTGGGTTGGGCAAAAGAAGCAGGGCAGAGCGCTTGTGGTTGGCGCTAACTACGTCGAAAGGAATATCCGTAAAGTTATTTGTACACGATCCGCTTTTAGATTAGTGGTGATCAAACTCAATGGAGGCCTCGGTACCACAATGGGTTGTAAAAACGCAAAAAGCTTCATCGAAGTGAAGGACGGGCACTCGTTCCTCGACTTGGCGATTGCACAAAACGAGGTAACCCTTGCACAAGGGATTCGAGGGGGAGGGGCCAGCCGAGAATATAGGACGTTCATAAAACAAATATGACAATTAAAGACTGTTTGACGCAAAAATAACAAAAAAAATTGATGGAATTTAACCTTTACAGGCTTTCAACAAAAAATACAATGCCAAAATACCGTTGCTGTTGATGGACTCCTTCAATACTTTTGCTGATACTAGAGAAAAGGTATCTCATAATTTTGCTATCATGATTGTATTAAACATTTTAGCTTCAAGGTCGTAACGTGAGACAATTCGAACAGAGTCGTTGCCCTAGGGTATATTCAGACACTTTCCTACCAGTGGAGGAGGAAGCGGAACGGTAATAAAATCAATTTTTAGAGCTTTCAAATGAGTTGAATTTTTAGATGGTACCCGCCTGGCCATGGAAACATCTTTGCTTCATTGGAATTTTCCGGGGAATTGGATCGGTTGTTGGCCGAGGGTCGCGATATAATATTTGTTTCGAATATCGATAATACTGGTGCGGTGATTGAGCCGCGGATTGCTCAGGTGGATTTTAGAAGTTTTTACCCGAAGGCGTAGCTGTTAGCTTTATCTCTACTGCTAGACATCTTCCTTACAAGTGTATAGCATTCCATAAAGCGAGATATTATAAAACATACCTCCGCAACTAATCCCCTTCCAGTTTTTTTCCGAAATTGGCGCTGAATATGCGATGGAATGTACTCCAAAAACGCAAGCGGATATTAAGGTAATTTCCCACCTATTGTTAGTACACCCAAAATTGTTGTAGGGAGGAACATTGATCGAAATCGGCAACCACATAATGCATTTGGAAATCCCGCAAGTGCCTCCAGAGCACCTCGATGACTTTTGTAGCACAAAAGTTTTCAAGTTGGTCGCAAAAAAGAATTTTCGAAATCCCGTCTCCTCAGAATCTTCAATACGAACAATATTTGGGTTAATCTGCGGGCTGTGAAGAAAAACTTGGAGCAGATCCGGAGTGAAATTATTGTCAATAAGAAGGTATTCCGTTGTGACGAGTCTCGGGAAAGGCGCGTTTTAGAAGCTTTCAAACGGACGTGAAGTGATACAACTCGAAACATCCATCGGTGGATCGATTAAGGCTTTTGACCATGCTTACTGTAGGATTAGGCTTTCGTCAATGTGTATTTTTATTTTAGGCATTCATGTACCGCGATCTCGTTTCTTACCGGTCAAGAAAACCGATGATTTGCTAGCGCTAGCTTCTGACCTTTATGAGTTGCAGCCCGATTTTAGGTACTAATTCTATTACATCTTTAATCCCAATGCTACCTTAGTTTAAAACTGTCCGTTGACTCCGCTCCATTAATCACATTGCCATCACATTTGCAGTTGGTAAGTTGCCACTGCATGAAAACTTTATTAAGCGATAGAAAAAAAATACAAGCAATTTCAGTTGAGTGGATTTCGGAATGCATTCCCGGAATACCCAAAGATGCGCGAATTACGATCGCTATCTGTGGAAGGGGACGTTTGTTTTGAGGCTGACGTCACACTAAAGGTAGGCCACAGGCTCACGAAAAAAAATAGGAAGGAATATTTTAGGGGAATGTACAAATCAAAGCGGAACCGGGCGCGAAGTTGATTGTTCCACGAGGTGCAACCATTGAAGATCAAGTATATACCGGGAAATAAACATTGGATGAATAGGAATAAAAGGGTTGAATAAATTGTTTGAGATTTTTACACATTTAAGTTGTAATGCGGAGGTATCCGGCATACCAAATGGTAATCAAAGTATAGGTTTCCGTTCACAAGGGTTACGGTACGGCCCTCAGCCTGGAATAAATATTTTTAAGAAGCAACAATAAGCATGCATTTGTTTTATACTTCAACATACCTTTGCCTTTCTAATTTGCGCAAGTAATGACGGTATATCCGGAGCATCAGGATGAGGTGATGCTCCAACGAGAACCCCTGCTTGCTGCATCATCATCGCCACACCCATACCGACTCCGCGTGGTGATTGCTCCCTAAATATACAATTTAAATTTTAATAACATCCATAAACCAATGTTTGTTAATTTTTATAAAAGTTTACTGAACAAAAGCGTTCTATGGTTAATACTACTATCACAGAACCAAATTATTTCCTATCACTCACGCTCCAACGTCCATACTCGATAGCAGAATTAGCCTAAAAATCCTTGCACTAACCAATACTTATTGATTCTGACTTGCTGATCCCCTTACCTTCTCTTTTTCTCAGCTAACAGCTCCTCATCGCGTTCATCGCTTGACATACAACAACCCATCTCGTCGCTCTCAAGTCATCATCACTTTCCGTTTTTTTTTCTGAAAATGAAAGTTGAACTATTTATGTCATTTGACAAACTAGAAAAAATTCATAGGCCAAGAATCAAACATTAATGGCCCAGTTATGCAGATTGTTTATGAAAATTGGCAGCACCGAATTGGCTTGCGGATGGAAAGCATGGGGGAATTGAGGGCCGCCATTGGCCCACCAAAATGGGCCACCAAACGCCTCCACAAATCTTGGAATCCAACGAGGGGTTCAGAAATTGAGCCCTTAGCGGGGGTAGACACCTTTTCATGGCCCTCTATTCAGGTCTGCTGAAGAAAAGAAAAAAAAACCCTTGCTCCTCCCCTCGGTTGGCTTCGCTTCGAAGAGGTCATTCGTCATGGAACCTTTCCGAAAAGAGATCGGGAATTTAAATCAGAGGCGTCGTAGAATTCAGGGGCGTTCCATTAAATTTGAGGTTAACAGACTGGATTGGAATCTGAGGGCGATGGCTTGGAAATCTTTTATTTTTAGAGGACAGCTGAAAATTAATGGAACGGATAGAAAGAATTGACGAATCAAACAACTACCACTAAATTTAATAAAAAACATAGTTAAAATTAAATACATTGTATGGTAAACATAGAATATAGAATATTATTTACGTAACTATTAATAGAACTTTTATACGCTACGAGTAAAAGATGACATTAGAATTTGGAATGGACATGCAATAAAATAAAATTAATTTTTTAAGCTACCTATCTTTTCAGAGAACCCCATATCCCATAATTGGATGCTATGAAATGATCTACCCTCCACAACCCATTTCTCAAAAACCTTTTATCCCCCTCTTCCCTCCATCCCACCATCACCCCTTTTTACCAATGCCGTGTTGGCATCCACTTGAAGTATATTTTGGGGTGCACAAAGCGTGCGTAAGATTTTCGAACTCTTATGACCCTCACCCCCCCATCCCCCTTTATTTGCATTGGCAGCCACCCCCCTAAAAGGGCAAATTTTCTCGGAAGTGAAGCTGATGGGATTGGCAACGCATGGCAACCAGTATCAAAATGTTGAAGTTCCGGAAAAGGAGACGTCGAGCGGGATTAGAAACTGGGTTGGGTGGCATTGGAGCGGAAGGAAAGCTATGTTCTTTCATTTGCGTGGGCATAAATTAGGAAGGAGGACCGAGGGAAGGAAGGGGGAAACGGCGACACTTCGCGAACGGAGGATACGGAAAAAAAATAGGTTCAAGCGCTTGGAGTTAAGAGATGAATTTTTGGAGATTTAGAGGGTGAACTGGGTACACACGGGGTTGCATAGCTGATCAGATTTAAGGAGATATGCAGGTAAATGGATTGAGGTAGGTTATTGAGGAAGATTCATGGCAAAGTGGAAGGGTTGAATTAAAAACTAGAATTGAAAAATTGTTGTAATTAACGGTTTAATCAAGGCTCTCTGGTGAAATATTTGTAGGTGCATCGTTCAGGGGTCTGCGCTCTATCTTATTAGTTCAGTGTAGATTTGCCGTACCCGATCAAATTTAAATAGAAGAAAAAGCTACATCAGCTGAAGAACGAGATATTCGGTAACTGAAGCCCTCGAAAAGCTTAAGCCCGCTGCATCCCCCTTTATATGACACCCTATCAGGAAGTAAATGGCCCGATGGGACTGTGGAATAGATGGAAGTCAAAAGAGCAAAGCCACACCCTTCCCCCTTTCTGAAAGATGTTGATGCTGAGGTGAGGATGGAGAGGAGGTGGGGGACACTGATAGAATTTCTACGAAGCGAATCAATTGGCCGCGAAGAGCTCTTCCTTAGCCAGAGCCCCCAAGAGATGCGCGACCCGAATTTATTGAATTCGAGGGAGGGTGAGGAAAGCCGGCATCAGATTTTGCGAATACCTTGCATTTTGAGGAAGGGACGGGTGGGTGGCCGTGTAGATGTCGTGTAGAGAAGGGGGAGATGTGGGTTCCGGAAACGTGCCATCACCACACAAAAATGGGTAGCAATTATCTGTAGCGCGAGGTTGACGTTTTTCGCTTTTCATATCCAGATATATGGCAGACAAAACGCACGTTACAATAATAATCGCTTTCGACGCCGATTAGCCTTGTAAAAAAAAATGCTAAGCATTAATTAAATGACCCTTTATTGGAATTTTGATGCAATTTAATAACGAAGCATAACATTTTATTTGGAGGAAAACGATGACAGACGAGTTTGAACGCAAATATATATAAAATTTAACGATAAGCAGTGCTGGTTCCTTGAAATACGGTAGTGGTCTATTCTGAAAAAAAAGATGAATCTGTTGTACCAAAATTTTTGTTGCTCATTTTGCCCTTAAAAAAGGTTAATTTTCCAAACGTTTTTTGGCTTTTCCAAAAGCTTCGTTTTAAATTGGCGCACTTTCATTAGTGTACTGATCTAGATAAGCATCTTTTGTTCTCCAATTTTGAATCAACCCAATATCTCTGATCAATCGCGTATGCTGGAGGGCAAGTTGAGGCTATAGACTACAGTATTTACCACCTCTCCCGTTCCTTTTCCAACCGTGCTCTCTGTCTGGGTCACCGATCCACAACTCCCCCTTGGGGGCAAAGTCTGCTGCTCACCGCTGTCCTCTCCTTATCGTTCTTTTCCCATCATTCTTTCTCTCTTTCTCACTCTCTTTCTCGATCTCATTCAATCTATCAATTCCTCTCGTAGCGCTAAAGGCTTGTTGGAACGTTTCCGCGACAAAACAACTGACAGCGACGCGATTCCATATAGTTACTACCAAGATTTCTAGCCAACCTACAGCCGCTTTGGGTCTTTTGGGGAGCTGGGAGCCGAAAAACTGTGCTCAGGCTGGATTCCACGTGGTTCTTATCATGACAACTGACCTGCTTTTACGCGGCAAAAATTTGGATTTAACCCCATTCTCGTTTCACATCTTCCTTCAAGCCATTCAATTATTTTGTAAAGCCACTTTTATAGGCGATGTTGAGTCGGGTCGGCATTTTGAGATCCGCGGTAGCCCCGCGCTTCAGCGCCCGCAGTCTCAATTTTGGTAAGCCCAGCTTTAGCGGTAAATTTTGGATTCTTCAGATTTCACCGATGACCAAAAAGAATTGCAAGCTACTGCACGTAAATTTGCGCAGGAAGAGATTGTGCCGGTGGCTGCTAAATATGACAAGTCAATGGAATATCCCTGGGATATTATCAAGAAAGCGCATGCTTTGGGATTTGTGAATGCCACCGTACCCCAAGAGCTTGGTGGGTTTGAAAAGTTTCGAACCTAATAAGAGTGAGAATTTTTTAACCAATTTTATTCATTTCTAGGCGGCTTGGGATTGAGCGCTGTCGCTTCATCGCTTGTCATTGAAGCCCTGGCGTATGGCTGCACCGGAATAACCACAGCCGTGTTGACCAATGAACTTGCTGAGACCCCTTTGATTATTGCGGCTAATGATGACATCAAGAAACGATTCCTGGGTCGAATGCTGGAGGAGCCGCTAGTAGCTGTAAGTTTACATTTTTAAGCTACAAGCCCATAGCTTAAATTTTGAACTACAGTAATCTAAAACTGATGCTTTTTAGTCTTACGCAGTCACCGAGCCAATTGCTGGGTCCGATGTGGCTGGAATCAAGACAAAATGTGTTAAGAAAGGTATAGAAATTCATATTCGTTTTTGCATTGTTTTTAGGCGACGAATATATTCTCAACGGAAGCAAGATGTGGATTACCAATTCTGGACATGCGAACTGGTAAGAAATAATTTAAATTCAAGAATTTGCGTCGTTGTTAGGTACTTCGTCTTGGCACGCTCTGACCCTGACCCGAAGACCCCAGCCAGCAGGGCATTCACAGCTTTTGCTGTAGAGGGAGATAGTCAGGGAATTATTCGCGGAAAAGAAGGGTTGGTTGAGTCGAGTCTTTTTTGTAGTTCTTTTTAGAAATTAACATGGGACAGAGATGTTCGGATACTCGCGGTATCACTTTTGAGGATGTGCGAGTCCCGGCTGCGAATGTTGTTGGAGAACCTGGAAAAGGATTTGTGGTGGGTTATCAGTAGTATTATACCCATAATAATAATTTTTATACAACGCTAAGATAATTGAATAATCATTTTAGGTTGCCATGAAAACTTTCGACAAGACTCGGCCAATGGTTGCCGCGATGGCTTGTGGCTTGGCTGCGCGGTAAGAACAAGTTCAAGTTCAGTATTTTGCTCTTTTAGCTGCTTAGATGAAGCCGCGAAATACTCACTGGAACGAAAAGCCTTTGGAACTCAGATTGCAAACTTCCAGGTAAATTTCATACTGATTTTTTAATGAATTTTTTTAGGCTGTCAGCTTCATGCTCGCCGATATGGCAATCCATTTGGAACTCTCCAAATTGATGACCTACCGTAGTGCATATGAGGTTGACCAGGAGCGTCCGGGTGCTTACTATGCCTCAATTGCCAAGGCTTTTGCCGCTGACACCCTAAATAAGACAGCTTCCGATGCTGTTCAGGCAAGTCTAGCTATATCTTCCCAAAACGGTATTTAGGTCTTCGGCGGAGCCGGTTTCAATACGGAATACCCGGTCGAAAAATTGATGCGCGATTCGAAAATCTTCCAAATTTACGAGGGAACTTCACAGGTCCAACGGCTCGTCATTGGTCGTCAGTTGCTCAGCCGTGTCAAGGAGAACGGATTCTACTAGAAGCGCATTATCTTCTCTGTATAAATAAATATATATACTTGATTTCTGGTGTGGGCTGCCAAACGGGTTTTTACCCTTTTATTAAAAAGATTTGGGATGTAATTTTATTCAAACGTTACAGATGCTTTCTTTAAAAGTTCTCCGCCAGCCTGCCCTCCCGGAATTTGGCCGCCAGTTCCAGGAATCTGTCTTTTGGTAGGGGTTTTCGGAGCTTGCTAAGGTTGCAATTTTTAGATCTGACCGATCAACAAAGAGAAATTCAAGCAGCTGCCTTGAAGTTTTCCAAGGATAAGCTTGTGCCGGTTGCTAAGAAGTATGACGAAGTGGGTTCCGCTTTAACCAAACAATTAAAATAAATTTAGTCTGGTGAGTTCCCCTGGGATATCATAAAGGAAGCGCATTCGCTTGGTTTGATGAACCCCCAGATTCCGGAGAAATACGGTAGGATTTTGAGTTTTCTTAGTTGAAATATTTTTCTAGGCGGTCCCGGCTTGACCACCATGGAAACGGCCTGATCGTCGAGGCTCTGAGCTATGGATGTACTGGCCTTCAACTCGGTATTATGGGACCATCCCTCGCTATCGCTCCGGTCTACATTGCCGGAAATGAAGAGCAAAAGAAAAAGTATAACCTAAATCCCACTTCCTTAATCCTTTCTAGATATCTTGGCATGCTGGCTGCCGAGCCACTCATTGCATCCTATTGTGTGACCGGAACCAGGCGCCGGATCGGATGTAAATGGTGTCAAAACAAAGGCCGAAAAGAAAGGTAGTCGCTTCTCTGAGGATCCAATCCTTTTTGCAGGAGACGAATACGTCATCAATGGGAACAAGGCTTGGATTACTAGCGGTGGACACGCACAATGGTTAATTGGATTTGATGTTTGGTTATAGGGTGTTCTTAGGTTTTTCGTGTTGGCGAGGACGGATTCCGATCCGAAGACTCCGGCCGGGAAGGCGTTCACGGCTTTTATCGTTGATGGGGATACGCCAGGGATTATTCGAGGAAAGAAAGGTATCGGTTTAATGTGATGAAAAATGGTTGTTTTATTTAGAAAAGAATTTGGGACAGCGGTGTGCTGATACCAGGACGATCACTTCCGAAGACGTTCGGGTTCCTGTCTGCAATGTTTTGGGCAAACCTGGCGAGGGGGATTTAAGGTAAATAAATATTAATAATTATTCAAGCTGAAATGTCAGGTCGCTATGGGTGCTTTCGACATGACGCGCCCTGGATGTTGCAGCAGGAGCTTTGGGACTTGCTTGGAGGTTTGTTTCCAATGAAAAAACTACATGCTAAACTAAATTTAGAGCCCCTTGATGAATCGGCGAAATATTCTCTAGAGCGAAAGACGTTTGGCACCCAGATTGCCAACCATCAGGTAAATTTTGAATTTTTTCTAAAATTATTTTTGATATAGGCCGTCCAATTCATGCTAGCTGATATGGCCATTAACCTGGAAATGGCGCGATTGGTGACTTACAAAGCAGCAACGGACGTGGATAACCGGGTAATATTTTTAGGTATTGATTTGTTATAAACTTGTTAGGTGCGATCGTCTTACTATGCTTCTATTGCCAAGTGCTTTGCCGCTGATATATGGCTAATCAAGCAGCCACTAATGCCGACCAGGTAAGCCCAATAAAAATTAAAACTAATGAGATTCTTAGATCTTTAGCGGGTGGAGCCGCTTTCAATACCGAATATCCGGTAGAAGGTCTACCGGGATGCCAAAAATCTTACCAAATCTACGAGGGCAACATCGCAATCCAGGTGTGTCGCTCTCCTTTCCCCAAACAATTCATTTCTAGCGCATGGTCATCAGCCGAATGATGTTTGGCCACCTGGCATCCACTGGAACTTGCCGAGTCTAGGGGGGAGGATTGGAAAAAAGCGGTTATCTATGTATATCTTTTAAATAAAATTTGTACTTAATTCTTTCTCACGTTGGAAAAACACAACAGCATTTTCAATACAAGATTCGCCTTGTAAGTTGAATGTGGATTTATTCACAAAAATGTTTCATCTACCATCACTTAATTTTCGTCTATGTACTGTGCCTGTCGGTTGCCTGCGATCGCAAGGACCTGTACTCCTTCGTTGCCCTAGAAATTAAACATTGGGCTGGTCCTGTATTTCATGCTAATATGCCAAACTAAAAGTTCATCGATTTCCATACCTGCGTTGCTTCTGTGTGGTTTCTTTTTTTGAAGAGCCGCGTCTCCCCATAATTGGTAGTTGCGTTCCGACCGATTTTCCTAAAACGGCAACTTATGTCTCGGGGACGGCATTTTAAGAATTTAGGGGTTGCATGCGGCAAATTCGAAAACGGAAACGTGAGTCCTGACACGGGACAGCGGATGACAAGCTTTTCTACGGATGCGAGGTGGATAGAAAAATTTGGAGTGTGCTAGAAAAGAATTCCAGCATGCTAAACAAGTCAGAATTATTTGAATTCGATTTTGTTTTTTCTTTCTTTTCGGGATTTCTTTCATACCGTTCAATAAGGGTATTCTTAATTTTCCAAATATATCCTCCCGCGGTACTATGATGTGGCGCGCAAATTAAATTTTTCCAACCCCGAAGAATTTGAACTTAATAACGCGCCCAAATATTAGCTGATTGGACGATAGAATCGGTGTCCGTTTTTTTTCCATTTTCGCGCCGGTCGTCAACACGTTATCGCGGAAATCGTATTAATTTTTAGACCGCAATTATATTTCGGTAAAGTAGCGTTCATAGGTTAGACTATATCAACCACCCGTACATATCATCTATAATTCCTAAGCCATCAAAGCAATACAATGAATCAATTCAGCCAGCTTAACCTGGTAAAAACAGTTCCCGTCAATAAAGACCGACATGCCACGGGGGAACAGGACAGTATTGTGGGAAAAGACGGGAGGACGCATGCTGAGCATCGTTAATGCTCTCGAATAGGACAGCTGGACATTTTGAAATACCGACAAAGAATTGACCTCCACCGACGGTTTCGCTGAAGAATCCCGTCGTTTGGTGATAGACTTAAAACAATTATAAACTCACTGTTTTAGAACATTGCGATTGGGGCAAATAAATATACTGTAATGACAGGGGCATCAAACCTCAAAAATGGCAAAAGATTTCGAGAAATTATGAGTTTAGCATTTTGAATTTTTGATTTGTTAAGCTATTATAAAAACACAAAAAGGGCTCGGAAGCTGAAAAACGGCCACGAGAGCTCTGCCAAGCAGCCTGAAGCCACCTGGGCATGTAGAAGCCAGTAGTTTTCTGTATGGCCATGTTGTACGGTTTGACAAAATAGATGGTGATCATTGGGCTAAAAATACAGAGTAATGAATTGTAGATAAAATTTGTAAAATACCTCTGAGCTGGGTAAAAGGCGAAGAAAACGTAGACAAGATATTCGATGATAGTAACGTTAATAAATCTGAGGTGGTAAAGCCCATAGATGCCAATTGGTGGGAATATCGTACACACTGGTAAGGCAGCTTGGATTGTGGGCGCCTTAAGATGAACCTTATTAGTTTTGTACAATTTTAAAGTACCATTAAAAGTCTTCGATGTCCTTTGACAGTCTGGGATCGTAGTTTCTTAAATAATTCCGGGTTGCTTAAAATGAAAATAATATACCTCTGCATTATTAGACAAAATTTCCTCAACTTTTACGATAGAAGTAAACAACTAATACATAAATTGGGAACATTGGCAAAACAATGGTCGCCAGGACAAATGAGGTCATTGGCTAAAGGACGTATGTAAACGAGCGTATTTTCTTTTACTTTCTCCAACATATGATTCCTGCTAACAACCAGACCAGTCATGTTATAATGAGTTTTATTAACGGCTAAATAAGCCACAACCTTCTCCTGACGGCCATTCAGAGAAGATGAATGATATCTAAAACGCGTAAACCCGTTAGGATCCAACTTACGTGTGCTGGAAAATGGCAATGCTCCAAAGACTTAATAACAGCATTAATAAACTTTTAATTTTTGGAACTGGCCGAACTAGAACGTAATACTCTAAACGGGCATTAAAAGTTTGCGTGTATTTCGCCTACCTAAAAGCCAAACGATAACGGGAACGACAGGAATGTATAGAAAATCGAATGCAATTGGACACAATATGTTTCGTAGGAAAATTCGGAGCCTGAATATTTGGCCGGTCCTAAGGAGACGTATGCAAATGCCCATTTGTTCGGAATGATTCTAAAAAACGGCATTTAACGTTATACATCATTGATTCATTTTTAAGCTGTATTTCCTCTTGCCTACTCAAAATTACAGAAAAAGAAATCTTGCGTAATAATGACCCACCTGGGCTGGAGCGTTGTTATTGGAAAACGAATAGAATAGATCAGTGATGCATTGATTGAGTAGTAAGACTTTATAAACCTAAAAATGTGGAGTTATTAATGTAGCTGCCATGCGCCACCATTATACGCGGACGGGCGTACTGGACATTAGAAATTTATATATAGGGAGATCTACAGTACATGTTTTCGAAATTATTTCTCAAGCGCAACCTATTTACGTTCCCCACGCACCCAATTCCCAAAAAAATGTGAATTGAGATGGAATTATACTTGTAACTATGCTCAGTACTAAACTTTCGCTTCTGGCTCAAAATCACATTTGCGACAAAGTGCTCTCTTGCACTCAAGGGCTCTCGTTCCAATCCACTTCCGCGACCAAAATATACCTTTCGGGCTATATAGTTTTCCACATAGACCCCTAATTTCCAAGAAATTCTAAAAATACTCACTTTCGACGATGGTGGACTCTTCTTAATGATCAAGTATAATAGCAGGAGATTGGCTGGGGATCCCAATAGAACCCGCGATCCAATAGAATATAGGGAATATAGAATCATAAAGCGTCGGTCAGCTGGGGATATTCCATTTGGGTGGCTGTCAGATTGACGAGATGATGTTCGTTGAGAAGGGAAGAGCCGAAGCTCTTTGACAGCAAATCTACCACCATTTAGAATGCCTAAAAGAACTCTTGGCCACGCCTATCCGGAACACACTGATGCAAAAAATAGGAGATGAGACGAAAGGGATGGATGCCCCATCTGGAAAGGGAGAAGGATATATTTTATTCTTTACTTTAGCGATTCATCCTTATCAATTATTTATATCCACGATCTTTGCTTTTTTATAAATAAAAACCTGGGAGGACAAGCAATCTTCAAATTGGGATTTGAGCGATCTACAGAATCCTGGATAGGGATGAATGCACAAATCGGGGGCGGCACTGAAATGATCAATCCAAAAACGGATTTGACCCGACAGGTGTTGTCTAGAATATTCTGGAGATTCCTGGCACACAGAAGAAGCGGATCAGTACTCAAGCAAAATGGCGTCGGGTCAAAGCCTTATAATTTCCTTATGATTCAACCAGAATGCCGTCAAGGGGGTACTTTCAAATGACTTTGTTGCTCAGAGTAAATGATAGCCAAAACACTTTTTAAAGCCAACAATAAGAGCTGAAACAATTTGGGAAAGGAAAAGCTATTAGAACGGAATTGGATGGCAAGGAGGTCATGGACGAGAAAAAGTGTTTTTGGTCTGGGGCCTTAGGCTCCCGGTAGCTGTCGGAATAGTTTAGTGGGGATGGACAAGCTGGGTGGAAGGGTAGAGGGTAGATCGTATCAAGGTGTTCAAAGTAAAAAAGGGAAAAATTGGAAACGGAGGCAACATGTTCTATGGTCAGCTATGTTTTCGAAGTGGGGGGGCCAGATCCACCCAAAGAATTGCGCTGGTCTTTTAGTTCATGACTAGCTGCATTCCACGCTAAAAATAGATGTCATAAGCTTCTTAGATACCGGGAAATTAATGACGCTTTGACGCGTACACATAAAATATAGGTTATTTTGTGTCTGGATCATGGCTGACGAGGTGTATCTTTAAAATATTTATAAATGCGTCTCATTTAACCCCAAAATGGTGGCTTAACCTAAAAGCTCTTTAGTCTGTTCATACTACTCATCCAAACCCATATTGACAAAAAACGGCTCCAGGAGCCAGCTGACAAATATCAAATGCCTCGATTCGGAATAGGACGAACTTATATATTATTAAAGTAGGAAATGGGGCTTCTATAGACTTGGAACCAATCCCCCGCCCCCATATCCCTTCGTGGGTGAAAGCGTTCGTGCGGCTAAGCAGAAAAGACTTTTCGGAACTCGGGATTCTGGGCGTGAAAAGTTGACATTGCCCTTGGGCCACATAGACTCAAAAAGAGGGGGCCCAGTCCAGGATATGTCTCCGGACGGTTAAAGAACACGAATCTTTCACCAAAAGTTGAGCCGATTCTGGATGATTGTAGTATGGGCGGCTGAGTACGGTATCAACAGAGCTGCGAATTCTCGATATATATACACGATCCCAGCGCAATTTCATTAGTGCCCCGATCAAATTGGTAGCTGGCGGGGGGGGGGACAGCCCAACCCCCCTCTCCTCGGCTAGGGCCCAGCCAATTTTCTGGCCGTGGCTATGGTTGATAGGTGTGAAAAAGACCATTACTTTTTGGCGGTGGAGTAAGCAGGATGGTCATTTGAGTTCGAGCTAGGACGTGTTGCTAACCATGTAGTTAATGAAGGCACCTCCATCCTAATAGAATATATTATAGTAATTCTAATCTACAAATATAAAACTTGTCATAATAGTAACTGTCACCCTAACAATTGTAATAATTTTCTATTTCTTTAGTTTCTTTGAATGGCTATTTTTTGAAAACAATCCATTTTTCCAAAAATTATCAAAAGGCTCTGTAATCCAAAGAGGATCATGTTCCAGCTCTCGGGAAAAACGTGGAACAGGAAATGGTGCCTAACTAATCCGGAAACTTAGCATAACAAGGTTCTTTTTAAAAATGCCCTCTGAACAATATTTTATACTAAAATGTCGATACAATAATGACAATTTCACGGCACCCAAAAATTCAGCACAAAAACTCCGAAAAATTCCAGCGGCTCCAGAAATGAGGTGCAAAATTGGATGTATGTCGCAACGGGGCGTGTGGACAACATGGTGGGGTGGCCTGCTGAGGATCAGACCGTAGATTGCCTGCCCCCATCCTTTCTTTAAAGGCATTAGTAAGCAGAATAGTGGGAGAAAATGGATAGCTCTCCTCGCCAAAAGATGTAGGGGGTAAAAGAGGGGAATGATGATGGTCTTCCCCTCTCAGCATTTTCCAAAAACGGACTCCCTGTTAAAAAGTGCGGTAATTACCTGCTCTCTGGAGAAGAGCTGGGGGGGAATGAAAAGGGTAGATGGGACGGGAGGCTTTCATGACTTTGTGCTAGGTGATCACACGTCTATTTGAAGCAATGTTTGTTTATCTTTGAGCCTGGACCTGACGACGTCTGAAGTGGAAGTGAGAAGAAGACCAAAATTAAATTTTTAAGTGAAAATTTCTTGGGAATTCTGTCAAAAGAGCAGGATGTTTCACGGGGTTTGAACAAGACTTTTCAATTAGAAAAATCCCAAATGATCAAGGTTGAAAAATTCAGAAAGTTCGATATAATATCGAAAAATTTAACAAGAATGAGCTTCAACTGCTTAGCTTGCGCTATGGTAGTCGGACTTAAACGCTTATTTAGCGTAAATGTCTATAACCGCAATTTTTTCAAAACCAACCGCGATTGACCGTTAAATCCCATACTCTCTTCTCATTCAATAAAATCCTTCGCCATAGCCCAAAAGGGCTTTCGAAACATACTGAAGCTCTTTCCTCTCCGACCCAAAAATAGTCAATGGATAACTGTTTACCCATGGCTAAACCTTATTAAATCTCACGCTGATCAGTGCCATGAACTCATGGCTTCCGGGAATTGACCGGAAGAGACATTAAAAGAACCATGTCAATGAAGCCGACTTCTAATGGATACGCCCAACGGCTGCTGTGTTGGTCTGTCAGTTCCTCTATTCAAAAGTACTATGCACCTGGGCCCTTATTTTTAAGTACCATGCAAAAAGCGCTCAGCTGTTCTGAAAAAGTGTCAGACGTTCCAGTTGCATTTCGGAGAGCACCCTTTAGTGGTACTAGGTGTTTGAAGGAGGGAACATGTGCCAGAGTTCAATTTCCAAAAACTATCGGAACTTGTTGCAAAGAACCGACGTGGATTTAATTGGAATCGTTGGTTGGTATGTTGATGTGGGGGGGGGGCAATGTTTGAATGCGGATGGGGAGGCACCTAAATCTGATCCCGAAAAGTTAATGAGAATTTGATGGACGACAGATAGTAGTCTGGGAAGCAAAAGAAGGTACTAAGAACCTTGGGTTCTCTTTTAGACCTCGAAGGGGTAACTTTTTGGTTTGAAGCGCAATTTCCGTGCAGAACTACAAATTCCCCACGTCAAAATCCACTCGAGATTCCCAGCAACGAGTATCAGAACTAACAAGTCATGAGTCGGTGTTGTTGCGTTTATTATAAATCCACAGACGGAAGCGACATAGTTGGCGGAAAAGTGCCAAAAAATGCCCACATTAGTTTCAAACGGGTTCCACCATGCGAGGAAATAGAAACGTCGGGGGAACAACTCACTAAAAGGTTTTCTTGGGGCTGAAGTCGGAAAGCAAAATTTTCAAGCCCGGAAATATTCTGCTTGCTAATTTTACGGACAGTGGAAGCGGCAAATAGCGGAACGCTTTTGCTAAAAACAGCTGTTATTATCCAGCAGTGGAATAAATTGCGTGGAGACCAGGATCGATCAGGAATTAATTCTACTGGGGA